ATAAAAAGACTGCCAAACATAAAAAGACTGCCAAATAAGAAAAGACTGCCAAACATAAAAAGAATGCCAAACATAAAAAGACTGCCAAATAAGAAAAGACTGCCAAACATAAAAAGAATGCCAAACATAAAAAGACTGCCAAATAAGAAAAGACTGCCAAACATAAAAAGACTTCGAAACATAAAAAGAATGCCAAACATAAAAAGACTGCCAAACATAAAAAGACTTCGAAACATAAAAAGACTTCGAAACATAAAAAGAATGCCAAACATAAAAAAGACTGCCAAACATAAAAAGAATGCCAAACATAAAAAGAATGCCAAACATAAAAAGAATGCCAAACATAAAAAGAATGCCAAACATAAAAAGAATGCCAAACATAAAAAGAATGCCAAACATAAAAAGACTGCCAAACATAAAAAGAATGCCAAACATAAAAAGAATGCCAAACATAAAAAGAATGCCAAACATAAAAAGACTTCGAAACATAAAAAAGAATGCCAAACATAAAAAGAATGCCAAACATAAAAAGACTTACGAACATAAAAGAATGCCAAACATAAAAAGACTGCCAAACATAAAAAGAATGCCAAACATAAAAACACTGCCAAACTTAAAAAGACTGCCAAACATAAAAATACTTCGAAACATAAAAAGAATGCCAAACATAAAAAGACTGCTAAAAATAAAAAGACTTCGAAACATAAAAAGAATGCCAAACATAAAAAGTATGCCAAACATAAAAAAGACTGCCAAACATAAAAAAGACTGCCAAACATAAAAAGAATGCCAAACATAAAAAGACTTACGAACATAAAAGAATGCCAAACATTAAAAGACTGCCAAACATAAAAAAGACTGCCAAACATAAAAAGTATGCCAAACATAAAAAAAGACTGCCAAACATAAAAAAAGACTGCCAAACATAAAAAAGACTACCAAACATAAAAAAGACTGCCAAACATAAAAAGTATTCCAAACATAAAAAAAGACTGCCAAACATAAAAAAGACTGCCAAACATAAAAAAAGACTGCCAAACATAAAAAAGAATGCCAAACATAAAAAGTATGCCAAACATAAAAAAAGACTGCCAAACATAAAAAAGAATGCCAAACATAAAAAGTATGCCAAACATAAAAAAGACTGCCAAACATAAAAAAGACTGCCAAACATAAAAAAAGACTGCCAAACATAAAAAAGAATGCCACACATAAAAAAGAATGCCAAACATAAAAAGAATGCCAAACATAAAAAGAATGCCGAACATAAAAAGATGGTCAAACATAAAAACACTGCCAATTATAAAAGACTGCCAACAATATGATGACTGCCAACTATAAAAAGACGGCCAACTATAAAAATACTGCCAACTATAAAAAGACTATTAACGATAAAAAGACTGCCAACTATAAAAAGACTGCCAACGATAAAAAGACTGCCAACTATAAAAAGACTGCCAACTATAAAAAGACTGTCAACTATAAAAAGACTGCTAACGATAAAAAGACTGCCAACGATAAAAAGATTGCCAACTATAAAAAGACTGCCAACGATAAAAAGACTGCCAACGATAAAAAGACTGCCCATTATCTCTATTTCTCCATACCCTAAATGGCCTAAACAAAAAAAAACTTTCTTAATAGCTATTAAAACCTTGCCAGAACTGACTCACACAAACAATACTCACGTCTGACCCAAAACATTGGTGGGCAATATCACGACCTCGGAGCACACAATGTGGCTCTTAAAAGGAATAGACTCAGTTCTTTAAAAAAAAACTTAACCTTTCTAGAAGGATATTCAAAGTACCAAAATAATTTATTAGCGGATACATCATTTTAAACAAATGACCCCTCAATCCAAATGGTTTGCCGACCTCTATCCACAAAAACATCTGGACAAGGGCGGAGTCATGTCTGTCCAGTAACGCTCATGTCTGCCAAGTAATGTTCATGTCTGCCAAGTAATGCTCATGTCTGCCAAGTAATGCTCATGTCTGTCCAGTAACGCTCATGTCTGCCAAGTAATGTTCATGTCTGCCAAGTAATGCTCATGTCTGCCAAGTAATGCTCATGACTGCCAAGTAATGCTCATTTCTGCCAAGTAATGCTCATGTCTGCCAAGTAATGCTCATGTCTGCCAAGTAATGCTCATGTCTGCCAAGTAATGCTCATGTCTGCCAAGTAACGCTCATGTCTGCCAAGTAACGCTCATGTCTGCCAAGTAATGTTCATGTCTGCCAAGTAATGCTCATGTCTGCCAAGTAATGCTCATGACTGCCAAGTAATGCTCATGTCTGCCAAGTAATGCTCATGTCTGCCAAGTAATGCTCATGTCTGCCAAGTAATGCTCATGTCTGCCAAGTAACGCTCATGTCTGCCAAGTACTGCTCATGTCTGCCAAGTAATGCTCATGTCTGCCAAGTAATATTCATGTCTGTGCATATCAATACTAAATGTAATTTTTTTATAATTATTTATAAAAATGAAAATTCTATAAGTATGTATGTAAGGCAGTAACGCTGTGTTCAATAGTACTGCAAAATATAATTCCAATAAGACAGCACTAATATGGCATTCTTATAAGTGTGATACTTGATCGGAAGTTTTGTTCAGTAACTTGAGTAATTGGGACTTCACGCTTTGCCGTTTGTTATTTTCAGAAGCGCGTTACTTAATTTTTTTCCTTTTAGAGTAATTTCAGTGTCTTCTGTTTACCTTTCTTCAAATGATTAAAGTTCGAAGCAAAATCTAGAAGTTCTTTACAAACTCTAGCTGCTAATTCTAATTTGGCGTCGAATAGCAACATTTTCATCATATACTTTATCAATGTCTTCGAATTTCCTTGAACATGCAAGTCTTGCTTGCAACCCTCTCGGTGTTTTCTGTAAATCTATTACGAAAATTTTTTTACCCTGTCTTTAAAAACATGATCATTAAGACCAGCAAGAAATGTTTGAATTGGACCCAACGGTTCATCGTCTTCAATTTCTCTGTCAAGAACACTTTCAAACACATTCGATTGCCCCTTACTCTGCAGGGAAAATGGTTTAAAGAAATCTTATTTAAAACGATTTAAATTTCTATGATACATCAAAATCTTGCAACACACTCAAACCTTGCCATTGTGTCACGCTATCAAACCTTATATGCGATATTACGTTTTACGGTCTTAGAAGGGGCAAGCCCTATTCAGACATCATTATCACCCATGGTGCTACAACCTACGCGGGAATCCAACCGGCTCTACCACATCCTTCTGTTCAAACCAATCCATGACTTCTCCACACATGATCCCAAGCTGGCGCAAATACGTATCCATGTCATCAATCCATCTCAGTTTTTATCGGCTGGTTTGAGGAGTCTGTCAATCACTTTTTGTTTGTGTATGATCTTACATCCTCTCGAAGTGTCAAGTCCAGTTCGAGTTCTCCACCCATCATTATTCTGTTGCGCAAGACCATATATTTTTGGTGACTTTCAGGTGTAAGATTATCAGTTAGATTATGAACATAGGGAAATGACGTCAACAAATGACGTCTGTACGGATGGATTATGGGAAGGGGGATTTTAAAACAGCCACTAAAACGTTTTGGTGAAACCCGATGTGATGTCAACTCTAAAAATAGCAACACGTTGATATGGGTGAAGCAGCACTTGTGATATCAGTAAGGAAGAAACCAACACAGTACCAGGCGATGGAGTGCCACTCAAGTAGGTCATGCTCTCTCAGCGGCATGGCTGGAATTCTTGACGTCTGGAACGTGCCGTCTGTCCGTGCTGGTGAAAACTTGATGACTTGATGTGGACGTCATGATGGAGGTTGCTGGGTACCATCGCACGGCGAAACTGCTAGGAAGGGGGTCTTAGTTCATTCACAATGGATTCGATGAAAGTTTGCCTCCTGTAGTTGACATTTTTAGAACCGCTCACTCAGAGTCGTCGTGGGACTTTTGGAGCCCCCCCCCCCCATACCCCCAATGACATTCAAAGTTGATAGTTTCATTATATATTATTACGTCAATTTAAATTGACATATTCCTGGAAATTAGATGATTTCGATGAAAGTTTGCCCCCTGTAGTTGACATTTTTAGAACCGCTCCCTCAGAGTCGTCGTGGGACTTTTGGCGCCCCCCCCCCCCCATACCCCCAATGACATTCAAAGTTGATAGTTTCATTATATATTATTACGTCAATTTAAATTGACATATTCCTGGAAATTAGATGAATAATTCTAATATACAGCTAGGGCTCGACTTACGACCACTATCGCTCCGACAGACAGGTCGTAACACGATTTGGTCTCAAGTTGAGTACGCTATGCGTACAGTAATGTGAAGTGATGCTATAAAAATATTTAAGTTAAATTAAATCATAACTTTCTTTTATTATTTGTTATAAATCATAATTATCGACGTTCACGACCGCCGATGATTGCAGACGACGCCGTGCGACCGATGATTAAGGCATCAATAAATCTGAAATCTAATACAGTATGGCTAGTGATTTTGGTCCTAAAGTCGAATGGTCGTAAGTTGCGTAGGTCGTAATTCGAGCACTAGCTGTATTTAGAGAAAATTTATATTCCAGCATACTTTATCTCAAATACTCATTCCCTTAATTCTAACTCTATCAGTGATTTGATTGGTCTTGCTTTGAAAACCATGGAAATTATCCTATGAAACCAAATTAAGATGTAATCGTCGTCGGTGGTAAAATTAAGATAATCGATTTCTTTGAGCTATGTGGGACGGTCATTTAGATACATTTTGTTTGTTTGCTTGTTCAAAAGGAAAGACGTCACGTGATGACTTTCAAAGTGTAGCCGCTAAGTCAATTCACGCGTGGATGGCATCAGCAAGAAACAAATTTAGGCGTAGTATAAGCAAGTACAGGAAATGAGGACTTTGGTACTTTGTAATGGACGTATCATGATGACGATTCATCAGGCCCAAGACAACTGGTCAAACTCTTGCACACGATATTCTTTGCTGGTGATGTCATTGATTACGCACATATGGCAAACATCGCCTCCTGCAGATCGAGTATAAATATGGAGGGCCTCTCCAAAGATGTCAGTGTCTGTCAAAGTGGCTACTTTTATTTATTTCCCCATGTTCAAAGAAAAGCTGGAATAAATTTGGAAACAATTAATTAAACCATCTTTGTGAATTTAACTTCCAAAATAGATTGTTGAATTTTACGGCTGTGATTACACAGGATGTCAATTGGTATGCAATATAAGGACACATTTTTGTAGCGTGAGGCATTGCGTAGGGACATTACAACTCATTGAGAAATAATGACTGACTGCCGTGAGAGCTCGGACACCCATGAAAACCTGGCTAACAAAAGTCTAACGCCAGACGCTGTGACCGGAAACGAGAGTAACGGATTAGAAGATGGTGTCAATGGGGACCAGGAAGATGACATACTGAACAACGATGACGTCAACCATAAGGTAACACCAAATCTTTTTAGGACTTAAATATTTATGATTACTGATTGATCACGTGACGAGGAAATGGAAATGGCACCATGGAAGTGATGTTTAAGTAAGATTCAATTTTGAAATATGTCGTCTTTTAAAAATACCAACTCATTTACTTTCAATTAATTTAATAATTATATAAAAATTGGTCATTGAATAGGAACATTTGCAATATTTATAAATAACGTCTTTTTAGTAAATCACACTTTCAAATATAAATTATGAAAGATAAACAATACAGATAGTTTAATGAATGCCAAGACAAATTGGTCATAACTTCTTGGTGATATCCTCAACCATCGAATTCTTTTTTTTTTTTGAGATGTTTATTAAATTTTCACACACAAAGCTTTTTAAAACAAAACCATGGAAGCTAATAATAATTACATTGTAAATTAAGATATAAACCTTTTTTTCTGCGATTAAACAAAACGTATAACGTATTAATTTAAAAAGTGCGTTTGTAAGATAAAACATTTGTGATACATAATATAGCTTCCGGTGGGCCGAAAATATATCATACCGGGCCACATACGGCTCGCGGTCCGCGGGTTTAACCCCACCCCCCCCCCTTTTTGAATAATAGCCTACTCAAAAAAATAATTATTCTTTTAAAAAATACATCTATTCGGCACATTGAGGCCAGTTTCTGATTGGTTGAGTCATTATTTTAGTAATATATTACGTTTCAGATTCAAATTTATTTTAATTTATAGGAGAATGGCCACGCCCTTGAGAACAACCGAAATGAGGATGAGGACAAAAGTACAGAGGAACAGGAAGAAGAAATTGACCTGTCATGTGGCATATGGAAGTTTCGAACAAATCTATTCGGCAAATGCTACTCCAATCTGTACTTGTTTGCTACATTTGTAGGCATCTCGGCTCTCTTCTCTGAAATGGTCAGAAGCATAATTCACGTGCAAGTAAGGGCAGGAACGAATCAATTGATCATTGTTTTATATTAGGCCCAACTGCTTCCAATACATTAAACAGCTTTGCTTCAATTAAGACATTTACAGGCAAAGCAGAGATAAGCTGAAAGTTTAATCTACTTTAAATTAAGACTGAGCCATGCGCATTTTTTACACCCGGTTCGGATCCGGGTATGTTCCGGGTGTGCCCGGCGAGCCCTAATTTTAATGCCAAACAAATATTATCAGTTGCGTAGAATTTCTTATTGAGTGCTCGTTCAGTATCGTTGTTGTTGTACTTCTTCATGAACCAAGAGGACAAAGTAAACACGGACTGCTATGACAAATCTGCTCAGAGATGTGCAGTGTGTGTTTTATTTCACCGTCAGAGTTGAGGGCACTTCACATATAACTACTTCACATTGACCTATTCACATAGAACTATTTCACATAGACCTATTTCACATTGACCTACTTCACAGAGATCTACTTCACATTGGCCTATTTTAAATATACCCACTTCACATAGATCTACTTCACATAGATCTACTTCAAATTGACCTACTTCACTCCACCTACTTCACACAGTCTCACTTCACATTGATCTCCTTCACACAGATCTACTTCACATTGACCTACTTCACATTGACCTACTTCACATTGACCTATTTCACATAGACCTACTTCACATAGACCTACTTTAAATTGACCTACTTCACATTGACCTACTTCACATAGACCTACTTCACATTGAACTACTTCACAAAGACCTACTTCACATTGACCTACTTCACATAGACCTACTACACATTGACCTACTTCACCATTGTGTTACCGGTCAGCCCAGGAAAGCCAATTATTTTCTAAATATTGAGCAGTGGCACTTTCAGGTGTTGTCATATGCACGCCCTGGTTGTGATAGCTATTAGTAGGAATGCTTCTTCTTTAAGTCTAAAAACGGTCACTATAGACCCCCCCCTAGACCACCATAGACCACCATAAAAAACCATAGACCATCATACAACCCCATAGACCACCAACGAATACCATAGACCACCTGAAGGTTTGCCCCCCCCTCCTCCCCTTTTCAAACCAATTAAAAAGATATACCGTGCCACAGCTGGGATGAATGACTTTCAATTAAATAATGTGTGCATTTCAATCATGAAATAATGACTAACAGTAACACTGGTGAACTTAAAAAAATTGTCATGTCTAACATTGCCTACACTTTCTGTCTTACATTTCCCACTATCACAGTCTAACATTTCCTACTATTCCATGTCTAAAGTTGCTTACTCTTCCTGTCTAACATTGCCTACACTTCCTGTCTTATTTTGCCTTCTCTCCTAATCTGACATTTCCTACCCTTCCATGTCTAGCGTTGCCTTCACTTCCTGTCTCACATTGCCTAAAATTTCTGTCTAACATTGCCTACACTTTTTTTTAACATGGCCTACTCTTCCTGCCTAACATTTCCTAATCTTCCTGTCTAACATTGCCTACTCTTCCTGTCTATCATTGCCTACTCTTCCTGTCTAACATTGCCTACTCTTCCTGTCTAACATTGCCTACTCTTCCTGTCTAACATTTCCTACTCTTCATGTCTAACATTGCCTACTCTTCCTGTCTAACATTGCCTACTCTTCCTGTCTTACATTGCCTTTTCTTCCTGTCTAACATTGCCTACTCTTCCTGTCTAACATTGCCTACTCTTCCTGTCTAACATTGCCTACTCTTCCTGTCTTACATTGCCTTTTCTTCCTGTCTAACATTGCCTACTCTTCCTGTCTAACATTGGCTACTCTTCCTGTCTTACATTGCCTTTTCTTCCTGTCTAACATTGCCTACTCTTCCTGTCTAGCATTGCCTACTCTTCCTGTCTTACATTGCCTACTCTTCCTGTCTAACATTACCTACTCTTCCTGTCTAACATTGCCTACTCTTCCTGTCTAACATTTCCTACTCTTCCTGTCTAACATTGCCTACTCTTCCAGTCTAAATACATCTCCTATGTAGAGGACTAAATGTCCCTATTCCTCACCCCAAATCAATTTCCACTCACCGGTCACGCTTGGAAACACAAGAGAAAGACAGTCAAGGCCCATTTACGTAGAGATTTACAACAGATTGGAAATTAACTGTGAAAAATAAATAGAAATTTGGCAAACTGAAATAATAAGAAGTATTCCATAATCATCTTCCGTAATCATCTTCCATAATCATCTTCCAATAATTATCAAACACTACTCGTGAAAATTCAATGTTAATTTGAAACTATTAAAGATGGCTAAAATTAATATGTTTTTGTCAGTTGACCTCCATAGAGAAGCAGTTCAATATAGACAACTCTAGGGCTGGTCTATTCGACGTGGTGACAAGAGCTGGGTATTTGTCCACTATTTTGTTTGGAGGCCATTTTGCCAAGGTGCGTTTTGTGAATAGTTTTACCAACATTTATGCCAGTATAGTTTCATTAAATAATAGGTCGTAGTTTATTTTGTTAGTAAGGAAAGCTTCAGCATAGTTATAAAAACATTTCCATTTAGTTGGATCAATAAAAGAATCTTATCTTATCTTAAATGAGAAAATATATTCTACCAGTAATTAGTATCTTCTACCAGTAATTAATATATTCTACCGGTAATTAGTATCTTCAACCAGTAATTGATATCTTATGTCAGTAATTAAAGCAAAAATAAAAACTTCATCAATTAAAGTTCAATTTGACATAATTAGTGCTTCCTATTAGCCCCAATGTTGAACATCTAGTATATTTTTGTTTATTTTTGTTCTGATAAAGTTATTTAGCCAATACGTACAGATGTGTATTTATTTTATTATAACTAAGACATAACCATACTGTTTTACTTAATCATATCATGTGTGGGATTTATCGCAGCCCAAGATAACCCCCCTCCCCCCCAACGCCACTCCGTTTTATAATTGGAAATTTAAGGCATATTATTCATTGACTTATTTTGTGCTGTATCCAAACTATTTACCAACTGGCAATGTCTTCCCCCCCCCCCCTCCATGGTTTCTGCTCAAAGAAAGCCCACATCCCTGTCATAATTGGGGCTTCGGGCGTGTTTCAAGGTTTCCTGCTGACCACTCCGGCATTTCTCCAGCTGGCCAACCCAGTTGAACTTCCTATTCTGTAAGCATTTAGCATTTGTGCCTTACGTCATTTCCTGTAGAATTATATTGAAAACTGAAATGCAACAAAACTGGGAATATCTATCTTTAGCCAAGGAACAACTAATTTGAATAAAAATCAATCAATAAACATGTTTGCTTATATTAAAAAATAAATAAATATAACAACTGAATTAAATGTTCGACTTTGTTTAGAAGGTCAAGGTTATGCACTTCCAACTTATCATATGTTTTGTAATTTAAAAAAAAAATGGTTTTAGTTAATGACGAAGCCTCTGGTAAATTTTTCAAGAACCCCTCCATTAAAAACTTAGTCACGTCATAGTTTAGGCCTAGGTTGACTTGAGACTTAAATTCTACCTGACTTAGTCACGTGATGGTTTAGGCCTAGGTTGACTTGAGACTTAAATTCTACCTGACTTAGTCACGTGATGGTTTAGGCCTAGGTTGACTTGAGACTTAAATTCTACCTGACTTAGTCACGTGATGGTTTAGACCTAGGTTGACTTGAGACTTGAATTCTACCTTGTGTTGTCTACACGACTTAAAGACAGTCGAATTCATTTATCCGCCCTGCCCTTTGTCATTTTTCTTCTCAGAACACCAGCTACACACTCCAACTCCAGCAACTCTACAGATTTCGGTGACCAGGCCAAGTACATGTGTCTTGACAATGTTTTCCTGGCCAACGACTCTGGCAAACCAAAGGAAGATAACACCGCACCAGTGAGTCTATGTTGTTCTCTGAGATGGTCTAGCGAGCACTGTTTCTTTCATGCAATTCGGGGGGGGGGGGGGGCGCGGCCCCAAACCCCGGGGGAAAAAAAAAAAAAAAAAAAAGACATATTGAAAAAAAATTTTTTTTTTTTAAAAATAACTGGGGGAATTCCGGTGATGTAGGGAGGTGGGCGCCAGAAAAAAGGGCTGGCCCTTGTTGAGGTTGAGCCTACTTTTATAAACCCACTGCGCCCCCCCCCCCCACCACTCCCCGAACACCTCATCTGCCCCCTTGGATCAAATTCTCTGAAAGAAACACTGCGAGTCTGTTGAGTAGTGTTCAGCGCAGCAAGTTTAGTGTGAACAGTTTGAGTAATTCTCGAGATTGAAACACGTTTAAAGAATTGCTACTCAATAAACGAATTGCTCAGCAACAATTGACAATGTCCAGTTTTTTTTTAACCTGGCAGTTTAGAGTTGAAACTATGAGACCAGTGAGATTATTTTCTTTTATTTATTTTTAGCACATTAAATTTAAGTTAGAATTGGATATTTCCCTTTCCCACTAAAGTAATATCTCACTAATACAGTAATATTCACGAGTACAGTAATATCTTACGAGTACAGTAATATATGAGTACAAAAATATCTCACTAATACAGTAATATTCACGAGTACAGTTTTATCTTACGAGTACGGTAATATTTCACGAGTACAGATATATATCACGAGCACATAATATATCACGAGTACAGTAATATATCACGAGTACCGTAATATATCACGAGTACAGAAATACCTCACGAGTACAGAAATACCTCATGAGTACAGTCATATCTCACGAGTACAGTTATATGTCACGAGTACAGTAATATGTAGTGCATTCGTGTTTCTGGATTTGCGAAATTTTAATTGGACCCTAACTTATTTGGATCATCGATTTTTTCAAAGATCTGCTCAATTTGCGAAATTCTCGAAAACGTATGTATGTCTTTATATTATTTTGAATTTATAAATATCTGTATAGTTTAACATCGATTATTCTTTAATAATTCATACTAATTTAATGTTTTATTTATAAAGACAAACCAAGTGGCGTTCATAGTGATCCTAGTGGTCCAAGCGGTCAAGGGCATCACTGACACCTTCCATGCTGGGTTCCTCCCAACACTCTACATGGACGACAACATGGTGGACAAGGCCAAAATGGGAGTTTTTATGGGTCAGAAATTATACCCACCAATAACACAATCTTTTCGTACATACACTAGTTGTTCTCTTTTTAAATAGACCATACGTGAATGGCCCATATTAGGGTGTTATGACCACTCTGGCCAGCATATGTAATGTCAAAAGAACCATAATCAAGCATTTAATATCATGTTTTTAATTTCATGCCTTACTTCCCCTTGTATAAATTAACACCCCAAAAATGTTTTTACGATCGCATTATAGGAGGGATTTTAACACAAAGAGAAGTTGAAAGTTGATAAATTATTTTTGGCAGAAAATCTGGGTAAAAAATTTAAACGAAATCATATGTTTTTATTTAGATGTTGTAAAACATATTTTTGTTGGAAACTTCAGAAAAAAGTATATTTAATTTAAGAAATAATATATTTAAAAAAAACCCATATGTTTCCCTTCTTCTTTATTTGTTTCATGTATTTTAATTTTTTTTCTTTATATTTTATGTTTCAAACGTTCAGGCATTCAACATGTTATTACTGACCTCGCCAGCCCTATAGGGAAACAGATCAATGGAATCATGACAGAGATTCCAATAGATTTGAAAGGTGAATTGGAATCTAGAACTATAGAATAGAGTAAAATAATAAGTAAAAAAAAAATGAATTTATTAGTTGTCATTATTTTTTTTAAAAATCGTTTTGTGATCATTTAAAATGGGCAGTCATATGTTTATATATGCGTGTTATGTAGTTTAAAATGAGTGTATATAGATTAAATGGTGCTGGGTGGGGGTGTCTACCCCAAGCCTGTGGACTTGAGTTCAAGCCTAGACAAGCGAAAACATCTCCAGGAGCCCGGGACCCGTTAACCTTAGATGATAACTGATCTAAGAGAAGGCAACCTCTGAAATCAAACCCGGAGTCGGAGTCTCGTAGGTGTTATGACAAGATGAACATTTCGATAACTCCTGCCACGTGGAACGCATAAAGAGAAAAGTGAGACACTTGCTGGTCATCTACTGCATCCTGGTCCACTTCCAGTCATCTTGACCACATCTTGCCACTGGAACAAATGGGCAAGGGTGAGACAGTGAGGCTGGAGAATTGAGCAACTCTCCCTCACTTTCAAAAAAATACAGCTGAAGTCCAGGCTACTTGGTCATCTTGGTCATCTTGGTCATCTTGGTCATCTTGGTCATCTTGGTCATCTTGGTTTGGTCATCTTGGTCATCCTGGTCATCCTGGTCAACTTGGTCATCTTGGTCATCTTGGTCATCTTGGTCATCTTGGTCATCTTGGTCATGATGGTAATGTTGGTCGTCTTGGTCATCCTGGTCATCTTGGTCAACTTGGTCATCTTGGTCATCTTAGTCATCTTAGTCATGTTGGTCATCCAGAGGATCAACTATAAAAAACGATTGGAACAACGCATTGGGGAAGAGCTGTTGTCATATTGACACAGTAAGATGGATAATATAAAAATGTCTCTTTCAGAAACAACAATGGACCCTAAAGATGGTCGCTTCATAGCTGCTTGGTGGCTGGCTTTCCTTGTGTTCGGTGCCGGCCTGGCCATTGTGTCATTCCCTCTCATGCTGTTCCCAAGGAAGTTGATCTCCAAGAAACACCAGAAGGAGGCCCTGGACAGGGCTGTTGTTAGCTTTGCTGGTGGCCAGGTACAAGACGAAGTTGCTGATCAAACCGGGGAGACTGAAAGGTTAATGAATTCTTACAGCAAGCAGACGTCTTAGATTTAGTTGACTTTGTTTCAAATCTTATCTTTGACGCAACGGCTAAAATCTCGGTCACTAGGAAACCTTTGCTTATTTCTTATACAACTTGATGTATTATATAAATATTTTAAAATGAATTAATTCTCAATTACACACAAAATTTGATACATTTTTTTTTCTGTACACTCTAAGTGAAATGAAAAAAAAAAAAAGAATTTTTAAAATGTTATTCTTTACAGAAAAGAAATTACAGCACAGACAGAAACGAATCTAGGAAGTATAAAAAGAAGATTTAGCACTAATCCCGTGAACTCTTCAAGAAAGGACAGCTTGGCATCTATTACATCTCCTAGTAGCAGAAGGTCGGTGCACAAAATTAAACCTGTCTTTTATGAAGGGATTTCCCTGTTAAGACCAAAAATAAATATTTTCTCGCTTTTTTTGTTGTTGAGAATCTGCGTTGTTTAAGTGTGATGCTATTTGATTTTTTTAGAATTCAAAATTATAATTTTTATTTAAAACAAAGAATGCTTTACAAAGGAATACAACTGAAAATAAAACGCTAAATGAAAATCAAAGAAAAATGTCTCTCCAACACTTGGATCTGAATATTGTTATTCCAAAATTTAAAAAAAAAAGACTTCAAACTACAACGTCTAAGAAGTAATTCAGGTGTTTTAGCATTAGAGTATCAGCCCTCTCTTTTGTCCAGACCTAGCATGTTCCCTCCTGTCGTAAGGCCATCGGAGAGAAAGGTCAGCCTGGCTGGTGACCTTGTATTCGAACAACCAATCAGAACTCACAAAAAGCCAGTCAATTCCAAGAAACAGGAGATGAAAGAAATGATGAAAGGTAATGATGAAAGAAATGATGAAAGGGGATTATTTATAAACGTTTTAATGAAATTAGCGAAGGAAATTTATGTTACTAAAATAATTCTTACCTTTATATACAGTAATATAGAATAATGTGATAGATTTTATATGTAATAACTGTGTGATAAAGTAACTAAATGAGCAATATAAGGTAAGATAATTTTCTTATTATGTGTAACAATTTCCCCCACAGACTTCCCTAAAGCCATCCTCCGACTGCTGAAGAACCCAGCCTACGTCCTGCTACTAGTTGATATTGCAATAATGTCCATCCCTTACTCTGGGACATCAATCTTCAGAAGCGTCTACATGGCCAACGAATACAATGTGCCCATGTCAGAGGTCACACTTGCTTCAGGTAGATTTGCGTCAATAGAAAAACAACAATGCTATGTCGATGTGCTTATGTGGCCTACAGATTTCTGCGTTGAAATGACATACCTAGTTTATTGTCTGATGACATACCTAGTTTATTGTCTGATGACATACCTAGTTTATTGTCTGATGACATACCTAGTTTATTGTCTGATAAAATACCTAGTTTATTGTCTGATGACATACCTAGTTTATTGTCTGATGACATATCTAGTTTATTGTCTGATGACATATCTAAATTATTGTCTGTCAGGAGACTTTCTTTTTAGTTGGCAAAATTTACGAATATATTTGACTAAGTTGGCAGATGGACTGAATAATGGAATCACAGTAGTAGTGTACACAAAGTCAGATGGACTGAATAATGGAATCACAGTAGTAGTGTACACAAAGTCAGATGGACTGAATAATGGGATCACAGTAGTAGTGTACACAAAGTCAGATGGACTGAATAATGGGATCACAGTAGTAGTGTACACAAAGTCAGATGGACTGAATAATGGGATCACAGTAGTAGTGTACACAAAGTCAGATGGACTGAATAATGGGATCACAGTAGTAGTGTACACAAAGTCAGATGGACTGAATAATGGAATCACAGTAGTAGTGTACACAAAGTCAGATGGACTGAATAATGGGATCACAGTAGTAGTGTACACAAAGTCAGATGCAAACTATCAGCTCGCGCAGGTCTATGAGGAATAGAACTTAACTAAGAGATCCTTACAAACAGTATTGACTAGCGCCATTTAATATCCTTTAGATTCATTTGTTGACATTTACCACACATTTAGCATTCTATTGAAAGCTCATTAAATGACAACAGTTTGTTGTTTATCAAAAATTTTAGTTTCATAAAAAGAATTAGCTCACAGTTTTATTTACTTTAAGCTGCCTTTCGTAACTACAAAACTGAAATTATATTTTAAAAATGTCCCGCCAGGTGTCTCAACTGCACTTGGCCATATTGTGGGGACTGTGACCAGCTCTTACCTGGCCAGCAGAGTCAACACAAGGATGGGTTACCTGTACATCATCATGAGCAGTTACATCTTCACTGTCATCATAACACCTCTCTACATTGTCTTTGGTTGTAACAATGAGAAGATTTACGGCCTGACGGGAGAGTTGTAAGTTGTTGTCCTTGTTAAACATACACGTTTATTTTATTTGAACAAGCATAAAACCTAATCCATGCTTGGATTCATGCGTTGAAATAAATGTATTTTGCGATATAAAATTTTAATTGCACTGAAGCAAGTGTTTCATACATTCCATGTTTCATGACAAATAATGAAACTATATAACACTATAATGTCACAAACACCTGATATCGAGTCATAAAAATTAGACTGAAATTAATTTTTCACAGCTTAATAAAGATTGAGACTGGTATTAAATGAAGAATAAATCATTGGAAAAGCATCATGAGTTTTAATGACAAGACAGGGTTGAAAAAGATTTCGCTAAAGCAACGCTAAATTCTGTCACACACAAATATTTGCAAAACATTAATAACAGATGGAAGACATTTTAAGAAACCAAACAATTTTACACAAGGATATATGAATCAAACTTAAGTTACACTAACACGTGTCGTCTCTCCTCTGCCAGCGGCATTCCTGTCAACACAACAGGGGTCTGTGACTGTACCGACGTTAAGGTTCTCATCTCATGTGGGGACGATGGTAACAACTACCTGTCCCCGTGCCATGCTGGCTGTACAGGTGTGGATGGGAAGGTATGTATATCTGGTGTGGATGGGAAAGTATGTATACCTCTATATACAATGAGTGTAGATGGGAAGTTATCTATTTATTTTATGTTGTGGATGGAAAGGTATTTATAAATACATATATATTGTATGGATGGAAAGGAGTAAATATATCTACAAACACAACTATTATAAGTTGACAATAGTAGATTAATTTGTATATTTCATTGACTTAGGCGTATAATTGGAAAGTAAATATATGCATTGTATTGATGCACAAAGTAGATGTAGAGTAGCACAATGTTCGCAAAGACATAAAAAATTAGATGTAAAGAAGCACAATGTTCTTGGTGACTACAAAAAGTAGATGTAGAGTAGCACAAGGTTCTTGGTAACTACAAAAAGTAGATGTAGAGTAGCACAATGTTCTTGGTGACTACAAAAAGTAGATGTAAGAGTAGCACAATGTTCGTATTGACATAAAAAGTAGATGTAGAGTAGAACTATTTTCTTAAGGGTTTAACAAACGCATTTCTTTGTTTGACGCAAGATCTTCACGGACTGCCTTCTACTGGCCAACTCCAGTCTCGGTACAAGTGTCCACCCGGGACTGTGTGATTCACCCTGTCATCAGAACTTCATCATCTACACTTTCCTCAGCGGTCTGCAGATGGTGGCTACTTCAATGGCCATGATACCGAGGCGACTGCTGGTGCTGAGGTAGTTAGCTCCGTTGTATGTGACTACTTCAATGGACATGATATGGTGTTGTATGTTATATGTTGTCAATGGTGACAAGATAGAGTTACCGGAAATTTGTTTGAAAGAAATTTCGACGATTGTTTGAAAGAAATTTCGTCGACTGAAAATTGATAGACGGAAATTTGATCAAAAGGAAAATACTGTCGAATCTTTTTTTCAGTTCACACTTTAAAATTTGCGTCAAATTTCTTTTTGGATGGTTTGACCATTAGTTCTCATTGTAGGCTTGTGACTGTTTGACCGTTAGTTCCATTAGCACATAGCACACTGACCCTCATAGCCTCACAATGTGTTTGTGCAAATTAGTTTAACAATAAGATTGCAGTTCACACGAGCCTGAAGCAATCATATGTTGTATTTCTCTTTTGAAAATTTTGTAAGAACAGTGCGATTATTCCAAGATATGTGTCACCTTCTCACATAGAAACTCATCTTATTTCAGTGTTTTAGATCACCTTCTCGCATAGAAACTCATCTTATTTCAGTGTGTTAGGTCACCTTCTCGCATAGAAACTCATCTTATTTCAGTGTTTTAGATCACCTTCTCGCATAGAAACTCATCTTATTTCAGTGTTTTAGGTCACCTTCTCGCATAGAAACTCATCTTATTTCAGTGTTTTGGTCACCTTCTCGCATAGAAACTCATCTTATTTCAGTGTTTTAGGTCACCTTCTCGCATAGAAACTCATCTTATTTCAGTGTTTTGGTCACCTTCTCGCATAGAAACTCATCTTATTTCAGTGTTTTAGGTCACCTTCTCGCATAGAAACTCATCTTATTTCAGTGTTTTGGTCACCTTCTCGCATAGAAACTCATCTTATTTCAGTGTTTTAGGTCACCTTCTCGCATAGAAACTCATCTTATTTCAGTGTTTTGGTCACCTTCTCGCATAGAAACTCATCTTATTTCAGTGTTTTAGGTCACCTTCTCGCATAGAAACTCATCTTATTTCAGTGTTTTGGTCACCTTCTCGCATAGAAACTCATCTTATTTCAGTGTTTTAGGTCACCTTCTCGCATAGAAACTCATCTTATTTCAGTGTTTTGGTCACCTTCTCGCATAGAAACTCATCTTATTTCAGTGTTTTAGGTCACCTTCTCGCATAGAAACTCATCTTATTTCAGTGTTTTGGTCACCTTCTCGCATAGAAACTCATCTTATTTCAGTGTTTTAGGTCACCTTCTCGCATAGAAACTCATCTTATTTCAGTGTTTTGGTCACCTTCTCGCATAGAAACTCATCTTATTTCAGTGTTTTAGGTCACCTTCTCGCATAGAAACTCATCTTATTTCAGTGTTTTGGTCACCTTCTCGCATAGAAACTCATCTTATTTCAGTGTTTTAGGTCACCTTCTCGCATAGAAACTCATCTTATTTCAGTGTTTTGGTCACCTTCTCGCATAGAAACTCATCTTATTTCAGTGTTTTAGGTCACCTTCTCGCATAGAAACTCATCTTATTTCAGTGTTTTGGTCACCTTCTCGCATAGAAACTCATCTTATTTCAGTGTTTTAGATCACCTTCTCACATAGAAACTCATCTTATTTCAGTGTTTTAGATCACCTTCTCGCATAGAAACTCATCTTATTTCAGTGTTTTAGGTCACCTTCTCGCATAGAAACTCATCTTATTTCAGTGTTTTAGATCACCTTCTCACATAGAAACTCATCTTATTTCAGTGTTTTAGATCACCTTCTCGCATAGAAACTCATCTTATTTCAGTGTTTTAGATCACCTTCTCACATAGAAACTCATCTTATTTCAGTGTTTTAGATCACCTTCTCGCATAGAAACTCATCTTATTTCAGTGTTTTAGATCACCTTCTCGCATAGAAACTCATCTTATTTCAGTGTGTTAGGTCACCTTCTCGCATAGAAACTCATCTTATTTCAATGTTTTAGATCACCTTCTCGCATAGAAACTCATCTTATTTCAGTGTTTTAGGTCACCTTCTCGCATAGAAACTCATCATATTTCAGTGTGTTAGGTCACCTTCTCGCATAGAAACTCATCTTATTTCATTGTTTTAGATCACCTTCTCACATAGAAACTCATCTTATTTCAGTGTTTTAGGTCACCTTCTCGCATAGAAACTCATCTTATTTCAGTGTTTTAGATCACCTTCTCACATAGAAACTCATCTTATTTCAGTGTTTTAGATCACCTTCTCGCATAGAAACTCATCTTATTTCAGTGTTTTAGATCACCTTCTCACATAGAAACTCATCTTATTTCAGTGTTTTAGATCACCTTCTCGCATAGAAACTCATCTTATTTCAGTGTTTTAGATCACCTTCTCGCATATAAACTCATCTTATTTCAGTGTGTTAGGTCACCTTCTCGCATATAAACTCATCTTATTTCAGTGTTTTAGGTCACCTTCTCGCATAGAAACTCATCTTATTTCAGTGTTTTGGTCACCTTCTCGCATAGAAACTCATCTTATTTCAGTGTTTTAGGTCACCTTCTCGCATAGAAACTCATCTTATTTCAGTGTTAGGTAACCTCTCATGTAGAACCTTCCTCTTACTAGGTACGCTAACATTTATTCCTCCAGGATTGTTGACCCAAGAGATCGAGGATTTGCTACCAGCATGTTCATGTTTTTCTTCAGCTTCAGTGAGTACAAACATTTATGGTTGCCATGGTTACTTGCAAACATTAAAAAAAGCATGTACACCTATTTACTGCTGCCATTACACAGCCAAACAAAATGAAGTGTACAAAATGTGCTGCTCGCGTACGCAAGTTTTCATACAGATTAAGGCAACAATGTTGAAAGGGCACCAGACAGTGTTTCTCAAACAGTAAGCTACAGAGACCCAAACACGTGTTGCTGGGGAAAAAAAAAAAAAAAACTTATTTTTTTTGCTCTTTTCAAACGGGCTGTCTGGCGCGTGAGTGTCAGGTTGTAGACCTGTACACAGGGGCATCAGAAAGAAAGGCTCGTGGAATGTGTGTGTTGTGACGACAGAGAACTTCAATCTGTCAGTTAGAATGCAATACAAGTCAGGTTCTAATAGGGACATCAACAGTAGTGATAAATGCAAATTCAGCCTCTGGCTTAACATACATCTGAAATAACTTTTTGAATTTTTTGTCGCTAGATTTGTTCGTGAACTTTTGACATGAGCGAACTTGGGATGTTTTGTCAGTGATGTTTTATAAGTGAGGTTGAATGAGTGATGTTTTACAAGTGATGTTTTATAAGTGAGGTTGAATGAGTGATGTTTTACAGTGATGTTTTATAAGTGAGGTTGAATGAGTGATGTTTTACAAGTGATGTTTTATAAGTGAGGTTGAATGAGTGATGTTTTACAAGTGATGTTTTATAAGTGAGGTTGAATGAGTGATGTTTTACAAGTGATGTTTTTTTTAATAGTGATGTTTAATGTTATCTAAAGACAAAGTTTACTTGTCTTTCGTTTAAAATGTGTAATGAGTTGTTGTTTCTTTTATTTGAACTTCTAATTAAAACGTCTCTGATGGTAAACAAACAGAGAGTTTGGATTAAAACACAGCAGGTTAAGAAATAAGATGGAGCTTATCTGATAAGATGTTTTGACGATTCAATCTTTAAGGGATTGTTGGGGTGACATGTCATGTCTGACCTAAACGCCATGTCGTTGATATAGTGAAGATGAAACTGGTACACATGTCATGTTATGTCATTGATTGTATTGATGGAACTGATCTAAATGTCGCGTCATGTCATTGATTGTTTAGAACTTATGACAACACTGTCATGTCATGTCATTGATTTTTTAGAATTTATGACAACACTGTCATGTAATTGTCATTGATTGTTTAGAACTTACGACAGCAGTGTCATGTCGTGTCATTGATTGTTTAGAACTTATGACAACACTGTCATGTTTCAGTGGCCATACCCTCCCCCAATCTGTTTGGTAAAGTCATAGATGACACCTGCCTGGTCTGGGATGGAAGATTCTGTGCCCTGTATGATCGGGACAAAATCAGGTAATTTTACATTTATACTATCAGGGGCGTAGCTAGTGTTAGCGCCACCTAGTGCGGAAAAAAGCTTTTTGCCCCCACCCCCTTGCACCCACTTTCTACGCCACGCTTACTATCTGGTCCAGTAATTCTTTGTCCGACAAGTCTCCGACTCCTCTATGGAACACTAGCGTTGGTTTACCTTCAAAGGTATTTTACAAGCTTCTGATATAGAAGGAATGTTTAGATCGATTCTTTTAATGCTATTCATTTTGTGACACACGTTTGAGTCATTTTGAGACTGTAGAATGTGTCTCCACTAATTGGATTTGTTGTGTCTCAAATTCAAAGAGTCTCACACGGTTGTCCTACCAGCCATCACTGATACGTCAATCAGAATTGCAAAACTTCACCAATATGACTTGGAGGAGTCTTTTATCAGTGTGAGCAGTTGTTTTGTTTTTTTCAATGTAAAACATTTCACCAGATGACGTGAGATGAATGGATGTGGTGGAGCATGATAGGGCCCTACATGGGCTGAAGTGCCATTGATGATGATGAGATGAATGGATGTGGTGGAGCATGCTAGGGTCCCACATGGGCTGTAGTTCAATTGATGATGATGAGATGAATGGATGTGGTGGAGCATTTCAGGGCCCTTCATGGGATGTAGTTCAATTGATGATGATGACATGAATGGATGTGGTGGAGCATGCCAGGGCCTTGCATGGGCTGTAATGCCATCGATGATGATGAGATGAATGGATGTGGTGGAGCATGCTAGGGTCCCACATGGGCTGTAGTTCAATTGATGATGATGAGATGAATAGATGTGGTGGAGCATTTCAGGGCCCTTCATGGGATGTAGTTCAATTGATGATGATGACATGCATGGATGTGGTGGAGCATGCCAGGGCCTTGCATGGGCTGTAATGCCATCGATGATGATGAGATGAATGGATGTGGTGGAGTATGTCAGGGCCTTATATGGGCTAATGTGCCATGATGATGACGATGAGATGAATGGATATGGTGGAACAAGTCAGGCCCTACGTGGATTGAGGTGCCATTGATAATGATTAGGTGACTTGAGACATTAGAGATACTTTCAAAGAAACACTTGTTAATCAACACCAATCGTTCCATCAAGATCTCCCGATAGATGACTTCGTATGTTAATATAACAGCATTGTTGTGCTTGTTACCATGGTGATAGTAAAACAGTTGTTTTATGCTGGTTTTAATGTCAAATAGTTACAAATCTTCTGTCATTGTAACACATTTCAAATGTCAAATAGTTACAAATCTTCTGTCATTGTAACACATTTCAAATGTCAAATAGTTACAAACGTTCTGTCATTGTAACACATTTCAAATGTCAAATAGTTACCATTCCTCTGTCATTGTAACACATTTCAAATGTCAAATAGTTACCAATCCTCTGTCACGGTATCACAATTCAAATGTCAAATAGTTACAAATCATCTGTCATTGTAACACATTTCAAATGTCAAATAGTTATAAAACCTCTGTCATGGTAACACATTTCAAATAGCTACAAATTCTTTGTCTTGGTAAACACATTATCTTGAGCAGGATGAAAATTGGTGTAAAAAAACAACAACAAAAAAAGCCAAGATTCTGCCATCCTCTCTTTAACATTCATCATAAATTGAGCTCTATTTTCTGCGTTTAAAAACTGCCACTGTTGAGTTTTGTATGTTTGGAGCATGTAGACTTCACCTTATTTTTCTAAAATACTTTTTCTTTCTGCATATGTATTGCATGGTACAACCTTGGCCACGGTACGCCTACAGGTGGGTGGGGGAGACGCTGTGGTACGCCTACAGGTGGGTGGGGGAGACGCTGTGGTACGCCTACAGGTGGGTGGGGGAGCCGGTGTGGCACGCCTACAGGTGGGTGGGGGAGCCGCTGTGGTACGCCTACAGGTGGGTGGGCGAGCGGTTGTGCCTATTTGTTATCTCCTTTGGTTGTCTTTGAAGTTCCCATGACTCAAATCAAGGTTGTTAAGAACTTTCTCTTAGCGTCGTCAGACGACTTTTCAAGTGAGCTCTTTGTCTCAGCTTATATCGTGTACACACCTTTACCCGCTTCTTTTCGTTACCTGGTCAAGATATTGTTTTTGGTCTTTTCTTTTTATTATTGTTTATCTTCAACTTTTATTATTATTTTTTTTTTTGTATTTCGTATGAAACGCTCATTTCCTGTTGTGTTATTTCTTGATCAAGATTAAAGAACTGAGTTCGTTTCTCAAGAAAACAAAAGCCATGATTACACTTCCAATGAATCATTGCATCCAGCGTCATTCAACTTGCAAAGCTGGGCTTGGTTGTGCTGTGTAAACAGAACGTTCTTGAAATAATGGGAAGTTCGATTATTTTAATTTAAACACAAATTTCATAAGTCTTTCGGCTTATTTGTAACTGAAAAACTTTAATTTCGGCCAAAGCTTGGAATGCACATCCACTACACATCCGCAATATACCGAACATCACAGCCTTCAAAACTGCACTCAAAACACATCTTTTTAAACGCTATTATCCCGACTGATTCCCCCATCTGGCCGATAAACGATGCTGCTCGGTAGCCGTCCATGGCTTGACCTGTAAATAGTTCTTGAATGTGGGGAGTGAATATACATTTGCTTTGTTTTATTTAAGTAATGTATGTTAATTTTTTAGATCAAGATTATGTTTGTTAAATGTTATGTACAGAGTGGTGAGGCCAGCCCTAGGCTGGGGTACCGCGCTATATAAAACTAATAATACTAAAATTATATAAGTACCTTGGTTTTAAAGAATAAATAATTGAATAAATTCGACTGAAGACGATAGGAAGAACATCGTTAAATACCTGAACTGTAAAGGTTGTTAGCTGAGTTGGACATGTCAGGTTATGGCATCTACGCTATTTAAGGCATTAATTTTTTGAAGGAAAGCAATCACTTATTCTGAAATTGCAAGGCTGTAAACAAAGTTTTTTTCTTTTTTTTTCTGCTGCTAACAGACGTAAGACAGGAATTTTTATTTGAAATAATTGTGCTATGTTTATGTGCTATGTTTATGTGCTATGTTTATGTGCTATGTTTATGTGCTATGTTTATGTGCTATGTTTATGTGCTATGTTTATGTGCTATGTTTATGTGCTATGTTTATGTGCTATGTTTATGTGCTATGTTTATGTGCTATGTTTATGTGCTATTATGTGCTATGTTTATGTGCTATGTTTATGTGCTATGTTTATGTGCTATGTTTATGTGCTATGTTTATGTGCTATGTTTATGTGCTATGTTTATGTGCTATGTTTATGTGCTATGTTTATGTGCTATGTTTTATGTGCTATGTTAATGTGCTATGCTTATGTTCTATGTTCATGTGCGATGTTCATATTCTACATATATACTTGGCTCTATTTCAGGTACTTTTTGTCCGGCCTTGATGTCGGGGTCCATGGCCTTGTCCAGATCACCTTCTTCATCATGCTCATCCTCTTCAAGTGGGAGGAGAGGAAGCTCAAGCGGAAGGAGGCCAAGGCGGCCACCGCTGGGGATAAGGACATAGAAATGGAGGATGTAGCGAGGGATAGAGAAATGACAGTGCTCTAGAGGGAGTATGAATTGATAGAGTGACATATATCGTGTATGAAAAGATAGTGCGTTATAGTAGAACTACTAGGCGGAGTGATATTCGTGGTGAACTGGTGTAGCAATCAATAAGAGGGTTATAATATACGGATATTTTGATAAAGAGAGATATTATTGAATTATACCGAAGTGTTACGTTGGTTTAGAGAGAACTCATTGAATTATACTGTAGTTGTACACTGGAAATGATGGAGAAATGATTGAATAATACTGTAGCTGTACATCGGAAATAGGGAGAAAAAGATTGAATTATACTGTAGTGCTATATTGGTATAGTGAGAGATGATTAGAGTATACTATAGTGGCAGGGTGCTAGTAAAGATAGATACGATTATTTGGTGTGTTGGATGTGGCGGTCCAACTTAAGCAAAGTAAGAACCGCTGCATAAGCAGGTTCACTTAGAAAGATCTTAGGGGTCGTTCGCAAATTACGTCACGCTCGGGGTGGGGGAGGTGGGGGTCGGTCGAGAATTTGTTAGGGGGAGGGAGGGGGGTAAAAAATTGTGACGTCACGTTTTGTTTTTTTTAAAAACCTAAAATGTTATGATTTTGAAAAAAATCTTTATTTAATTAATTAAAAGCAATTAATTTGAGGTCGAAATTGCTTCATGTATTATAGGTACTATGAAACTCAGTTTACTAATAATACTACATCTTAATCCATTATGGGAAAATGTTAAAGAATAAAATAAAATCTTAGCTTAGTTATGAATTATGTTTTGAATTTTTTTTTAGGGGTGATGGGACACGGAAAAAAAAAGGGGGGGGGTCATTTTTTAGCGTGACGTAATTTACAAACATCACCTTAATCATTTACAATTTTTTAAAGTGGTCATCGACCTATGAATTCACAAAACTAGGTCAAGGTCTGTAATTTGGAATAATAACATATTTGACATGACAGACTATAAGTGATGTCTTATACGCAACTGTGATACATGGCTCCCCCCGGACCCCGGTTATGCCTCCCCCCCCTACTCTGGTCATGCTACTCTTGGGTATGTTGCATGAGGAGTTGAGTTACATAGCTGTAATCTCATGTCAGTCATATGCTTTAGTTTTAATGTCTTATGTTAATGTATGTTTATCTGTCTATGGGAGGAACTAGTATAGCATGTAAGTCATTTAAGATAGTATACGTATAGAAGAACTCATTTTACAATGACCTATGCACATAGAATATAGCGTGCCTCCCCATATTGTAAAGAAGAGGTATGAATGATAGCATGCTTAAGTTAATTATTCATATAAATAATGTATGATTACATGGACCATACCTATTGATTGGAGCATGTTTATCACAAAATATACATATACAATATAGTAATTACGTGTTTGCTATACACTTACTTAACATACCCTACACATATGTTGAACTTTATTTTCTTAAAAACAGAATATGTTTTTATTTTATTTTATGTTTTAAATCAATCTTGAATATGATGAAAGCATGCCAGAAAGTAGTCTTAAATTGGTGGAGTTTTGTATAGCCATCTATCAATAGCTGTGGGAAAACAACAACTTCAGCAGCTGTAGTGTGAATAATTTATTGAAACCATGAGCATGTCGTTGATGTATAGTATAGAAATGATTGTTCATGAACACTTGTGTGTGTATAATAAAAATGTTTATTAGATAAAAAAACAAAACATATTAAAGTGGTGCGTATGATTTACAAATATAATTTATTTAAATTTATCAACTCAACGATGACATAAATACAAGACATATTCTAACAGCAATGTTTGTGGTGACATCACGATGTAGGTTGGTGACATCACAATGTGGGTTGGTGACATCACGATAGGGGTTGGGGACATCACGATAGGGGTTGGGGACATCACGATATGGGTTGGTGACATCACAGTGTGGGTTGGTGACATCACGATGTGGGTTGGTGACATCACGATATGGGTTGGTGACATCACAGTGTTGGTTGGTGACATCACGATATGAGTTGAGTACCACAAGCTATTATTTAGATCCTGATCGGCTATCGAAGCTCTTAATGGTGTTATATTCGAATACCACACGCTTTTACGGATATCATATTCGAGTATCTCAATCGGGATCATTGACCTTTCAAAGTTAAAGAAAAACCTACTTTGGACAAATATCGTTAAATAAGTCAATTATAGCAATTCTTCGTTTCCATAAGCTAATCATAGCTATACGCCTATCAAAATTGTGAACTAAGCCTATCAAGCTAGTGAACTAAGCTTATCAAACAAGTGAACTAAGCCTATCAAACTAGAGAACTAATCCCATAAACTAGTGAACTAAGCCTATCAAACTAGTGAACTAAGCTTATCAAACAAGTGAACTAAGCCTATCAAACTAGAGAACTAATCCCATAAACTAGTGAATTAAGCCTATCAACCTAATGAACTAAGCTTATAAAACTAGTGAACTAAGCCTATCAAACTAGTGAACTAAGCCTTTCAAACTAGTAAACTAAGCTTAGTAAAATAGTAAACTTAGTCTCTCAAAAAAGTGAACGAAGACTATCACACTAGTGAACTAAGCCTATCAAACTAGTGAACTAAGCCTATCAAATTAGTGAACTAAGCATATCTAACTAGTGAACTAAGACTATCAAACTAGTGAACTATGCCTATCAAACAAGTGTAGTAAGACTATCACACTAGTGAACTAAGCCTTTTAAACTAGTGAACTAAGCCTTTCAAACTAGTGAACTATGCCTATCACACTAGTGAACTATGCCTATCAAACTAGTTAAGTAAGATTATCACACTAGTGAACAAAGCCTATCAAACAAGTGAACTATGCCTATCAAACAAGTGAAGTAAGACTATCACACTGGTGAACTAAGCCTATCAAACTAGTGAACTAAGCTTATCACACTGGTGAATTAATCCTATCAAAATAGTGAACTAAGCCTATCAAACTAGCGAATAAACCCTATACTATTGAACTAAGCCTATTACACTCGTAAACTAAGCCTATCAAACTAGTGAACTAAACCTATCACACTAGTGAACTAAGCCTATCAAACTAGTGAACTAAGCCTATTAAACTAGTGAAGTATGCCTATCAATTTTTGAACTAAACTGATCACACTGGTGAATTAATCCAATTGAAATAGTGAAGTAAACCTATCAAACTACTGAATTAATCCTATCAAACTAGTGAACTAATCCTATCAAACTAGTGAACTAAGACTATCAAACTAGTGAACTAAGCCTATCAAACTACTGAATTAATCCTATCAAACTAGTGAACTAAGCCTATCACAGTAGTGAAATTAGCCTATCAAACTAGTGAACTAAGCATATCAAACTAGTGAACTAAGACTATCACTCTAGTGAAATTAGCCTATCACACAAGTGAACTAAGCGTATCAAAGTAGTGAACTAAGACTATCACACTAGTGAAATTAGCCTATCACACTAGTGAACTAAGCCTATCAAATTAGTGAACTAAGACTATCACACTAGTGAAATTAGCCTATCACACTAGTGAACTAAGCCTATCAAAGTAGTGAACTAAGACTATCACACTAGTGAAATTAGCCTATCACACTAGTGAACTAAGCCTATCAAAGTACTGAACTAAGACTATCACACTAGTGAACTAAGCCTATCACACTAGTGAACTAAGCCTATCACGAGAAGATATAACCAGGCAGTGCCGGATTAACCTATCCGTATTTGGCTTCTCGCTTTGATCATTTTTTTCACACGTTAAAACGTCATCATGACACCGTATTAAGTACAAGCCACTTCCCATTAGCAATGTAAGTTTGAATCCAGAACCTGGGGAAAGCGTTCATTAAATCAAATAACTCTTAAATACACCTCACACAGTAAAACACAGTATTCGGTGTGCAACAATAACTAGTGAAAAACATATTCTGAACAAAATGTTCCTGCTAACCATGGCTTTAAGGTCCGTTAAGACAAAATTATGACGTCTTTTGCAAATCTTAATCTGGACCTGTCTCCAAGAAATACAATTTTTACAATGATATCCATATTTTTAGATTAGAAAAAAAGTTAAGAACATAACAAAAATTTAATTGTCATGAATGGCATCTGTCAAACCATTGAATGACATATGTCCAACCATTGAATGACATCTGTCCAACCATTGAATGGCATATGTCCAAACATTGAATGACATCTGTCCAACCATTTAATAGCATCTGTCAAACCATTGAATGGCATTGTCCAACCATTGAATGGCATCTGTCCAACCATTGAATGGCATCTGTCTAACCATTGAATGGCATCTATCCAACCATTGAATGGCTTCTGTAAAACCGTTGAATGGCATCATCCAACCATTGAATGGCATCTGTCCAACAATTGAATGACATCTATCCAACCATTGAAATGCATCTGTCCAACCATTGAATGACATATATCCAAACATTGAATGACATATTTCTAACCATTGAATGGCATCTATCCAACCATTGAATGGCATCTGTCCAACCATTGAATGACATATGTCCAACCATTGAATGGCATCTGTCTAACCATTGAATTGCATTGTCCAACCATTGAATGACATATGTCCAACCATTGAATGGCATCTGTCCAACCATTGAATGACATCTGTTTAACCATTGAATTGCATCTGTCCAACGTTTGAATGACATCTGTCCAACCAATGAATGGCATCTGTCCAACCATTGAATGGCATCTGTCCAATCATTGAATGTCATCTGTCCAACCATTGTATGGCATCTGTCCAACCATTGAATGGCATCTGTCCAATCATTGAATGTCATCTGTCCAACCATTGTATGGCATCTGTCCAACCATTGAATGACATTGTCCAACCATGAATGAAATCTGTCCAACCATTGAATGGTATCTGTCCAACCATTGAATGACATATGGCCAACCATTAAATGACATATGTCCAACCATTGAATGACATATGTTCAACCATTGAATGGCATCTGTCCATCCATTGAATGGCATCTGTCCTACCATCTTTTTTATAGTTGTTCACAACCGACAACAAAAACTGCAAGAAAACAATTTTGTGACGTCACATTTTCCCACGAACTATCAAGGAACTGGTCAGTAATTAGATAAAAAATTTTGCAGTAACATTAAATAAAGGTCTTCACCATGTGATGAAGGGCTGTACGGCGTAGTGCCAAATAATTCCATACAGAGGGTCTGCAAGTGACCCCCAGGGCTGAACTCCCAGTGACCTACACGGCTGGACTCGACTCCCAGTGAACCACTCATCTTGTCATCCATTGACCCACTCAGCTGGTCTCTCAGTCAGTCGCACGGCCGGACTCCCAGTGACCCACACACTTGCCAGCCATTGACCCACTCAGCTGGTTTCTCAGTGAGTCGTCTTGCTGGGCTCCCACGGACCCACACAGCTGTTCTGCTAGTAACCCACACAACCGGTCATCCAGTGACAGACACAACTGGTTTACCAGTGACCCCCGCAGC